CTTTTTGGAGACAGTCTCATTTTGTCACCCTTGGTAGAGTGCTGTGGCGTCACAGCTCACAGCAACCTCCAGTTCTTGGGCTTTGGCGATTCTCTTGCCTCAGCCTCCCGAGTAGCTGGGACTATAGGTGGCTGCCACAATGCCCGGCTATATTTTTGTTGCAGTTTGGCCGGGGCCAGGTTTGAACCCACTGCCCTTGGTATATGGGGCCAGCACCCTACTCACTGCCACAGACACTGCCCATTAGTAGAGTATATATTAAATAGATCTCTCCCTTATAAGTTACAAAGCCAAAATATTTCTTGCTTTTAAGGTGGCTATATATATTTTTCTTCCTTTTTTGAGATAGTCTCAGTTTGTCACCCTGGATAGAGTGCCGTTGCATCGTAACTCACAGCAACCTCAAACTCTTGGGCTCAAATGATCCTCTTGCCTCAGCTTCCTGAGTACTGGCACATGCCACAACCCCTGGCTACTTTTTCTATTTTTAGTAGAGATGGGGTCTTGCTCTTGCTCAGGTGGGTCTCGAACTCCTGACCTCAAGCATTCTAATCTCCTTGGCTTCCCAGAGTGCTAGGATTACAGGCATGAGCCATCTCACCAGGCCTAAGGTGGCAGTATTTTAAAAGTATGTTTAGTTAGACTAAATTTATTGTTCGTTAACCTTTTATTGAGTCTACAGAGTGTCTTGGGTTTTTGACCGGTATGGAGTTTAGTAGGCCTTGGAGAGAATAAGCAATTTTTAGATGGTGGTATGTACATTTATTCTACCTTACCAGGATTTGTCTAGTAATGTCTTGTACATAATGGCTGTTAAGTGGCCAACATCATTTCCTACTTTTACTGTTTATAGGTCTATATTCATGGATTTCTGTTTTTGTTCTATATAGAAATAATGGCTATGATTTAAAGTATTAACTTTGGGATTATAAGATTTTTTGTGTGTGATTTTTTTTTTTTTTTGAGACAACCTCAAGCTGTCACCCTGGGTAGAGTGCTGTGGCATCACAGCTCACAGCAACTTCCAGCTCCTGGGCTCATGTGTTTCTCCTGTCTCCGCCTCCCAAGTAGCTGGGACTACAGGTGCCCACCACAATGCCTGGCTATTTTTTGGTTGCAGCCGTCATTGTTGTTTGGTGGGGGCTGGGGCTGGATTCAAACCTGCCAGCTCAGGTGTATGTGGCTGGTGCTTTAGCTGCTTGAGCCACAGGCGCTGAGCCTATGTAAGATATTTTAGTTGAAAATCAACACAGTGAGCAAAGAGATACGAAAGTAGTTACGTTTTTTATACAGTAACATATATGGTAACATATTAAGAGGTCTAACAAGAGGACCTCCTCCAATATGGTTACTGTTGTGTGTAGTTAGCTAATGTCAGGTAATTAGGGCCATAGTGTTTGTATTTTAGTGTCAGAAAGAATTTTTTTGGAATTATGTTATGGACTACTTTATTAATAGTTTTTTAATTAATTGGATATTAATGACAAATTAATGTTATTTTTGAAATTTTGATATCCACAGATGCTGTTTTAATAAGTCCAGAATAGTTTGATTTTTTTAAAAGACTTTTTAAAAATCTGTTTTCATTTTGTATTAATAGTATTTATAGCTGTAGAAATAGTATTTAAGGCTCTTGCCATAGCACAGGCTAAGTGGCTAATTTGGATATTAAGATTGTTAGTCATAGTAGGTATTAGAAGAATGGATAAGGAGACATTTAATAGGACTGAACAGCTGTACATCATTATAGTGAGTATTGGGGAGATGTAGTTTCTAAGTTGTATCTCTTGGATGTGTCTGGTGAGTGTTGTATGTCTTGGATTTGGGGCATGAAAGATGTAAGATGTCTTAATAGTGTAGGGCTTGTCAGTGTTATTAGTTGGGATATAAGAGCATGTTTGAGACTTATGAAGGAGAAACCATGCTTTAATCAGTGTGGGGTATGTAAAGGTATGAGACAGTGCTTGTCTGATTATATAGGAGGCCTGGGTGTGTTAAGAATTGGCATTTAACATAACATTTTGTGAAGCTGTCATAAGAGTTATTTGGGGTAATTGTTTTTAGTTGTAAAGAAAACATTTTTTGATCTTTTGTCATGGTAACATGTTTTTAGTTATTATATATTTAAGTATTTTTGTTTATATGTCTAAGAGAGGTAGCATTTTAAAAGAGTTTTAGAAGAGTATTTACTTTTGTTAAATAAGATGTAAATATTTGTCTTATTTTGTTAAATAAAATTTTTAAACAAATATAATAAATATTTGTCTTATTTTGTTAAACAAAAACTTGTTACATTATACTGTGGGCTAAATAAGTCTATTTTTTTCTCATTGGAATGGCAGAATATGTGCATTTTGAGAAATTACTGTAGTCTTAAGTTGATTAAGAAGATGGAGGAGGTGGTGCCTGTAGCTCTCTCGGTAGGATGCTGGCCACATAAACACAGGCTGGTGGGTTTGAATCTGGCCCAGGCCAGCTAAACAAAGACAACTGCAGTAAAAAAAAATAGCCGGGCATAGTGGTGGGTGCCTGTAGTCCTAGCTACTTGGGAGGCTGAGGCAAGAGAATGGCTTGAGCCCAGGAGTTTGAGGTTGCTGTGAGCTGTGATGCCACAGCACTCTACTGAGGGCAACAAAGTAAGA